TAGGAGTGGGAAAGATAGGCTCTGGCCCTGGCACCAAGCTAGGAGGAGTGCTGGAATCATCCCTCAACCCTGCAGAGTCTGTGCTCCATCAGCAAGAGCATTCCCATGGCTTACCCATCCTAGAAATCCAAAACAGTCCCTGTCTGCTGATGCTGATTTAAGAGCAACAGCCAGGGTGGGCAGAGCTTATGGGGCAGCTCAGCCAGGAACTGTTTAGGGCATCCCAGCATGGGTAAATTGTGTGCATTTGTTCTACCATGTCCTATCCTATTTGTAACCCATGCACCACCCCCTCCCCCAACTCTTGGAACCGGTGTACAACCCCTGTACTTGGAACCTGCATGAACCCTGTGCTCTTGGATCCCTGCTCTCACAACCTGTACACACCCCCAACTCTTCGTATCACATCCCCTCTGCTCCCCTGCATAGTTTGCCTAGGGTACCAGCTCTGCTTGTTAAACCTTTGCTCACGAGAATTTAATTGACAGACTATTTCTTTAGTTTGCCTATGAGAATTTCATGGGGGGCAGTGCTGAAAGCCTAATATATCACAGCTACTGATTCCCATTTTCCACTAAGCTAGACACAGTAGAAGAAAGGAAAACTAGTTTTTAGAAATGTATTTACTTAGTCCAGGTTCAGTCAAAAAGTATATAGATGACTCATTGAATTATAGGTGTGTTTTAACTGAAATTTCCTAACAGGTGAAAGGCCTGAGATTTTCAAAGTCGTTTTAAATATTCAAAGTAAGAATAGCTTTGAAAATTTCTCTCAGATATTATATTTATGTTCTAGGCTTTTCCGTACAGCTTTTATAATTTCAAGAATTTAATTCTGGCCTGATCTCATGCTTTGTTTCCTTCACTATTATTTTTAAGGATGTGATTCAATGTTTAATTGATAAGAACTTGGCATGAGTGATTTTATTTCCTTGATGGGTCACCAAAATAGTGGGCATGATCACTGGAAACAGATAATCTGCTGGAATGTGATAAATTTAGGCCACAAACAGGTGAAATTCTCCAGAGAGTGTTTTCTACTTGGTTGGAGGTGGATTGCTTTTCTCCTGGAACAGCCATTATTTGTTCTAGGAGAAACTGTGTGAATACCTCTACACACATGGCTTCTACTGGGAGAGCTTTGATTCTCCCAGCACGGATATAACACCTGTACATAGCCTTAGTGCTTCAAGTCAACCATAAGCAGAAGTTAACATGTTGTTTCTTGTGGAGTTTCATATTTTCACTGCTTGATGGTAAATCACTAGATTTGGGGTTTTTAAAGGCAAACAGACATAAAAAAAGAGTCCAACCTTGTTGCTTGCTCAGGTGAGTATTTTGTATAATAGATACGTATGCCCACATTCTCCATTAGTATTAATCTTTTGTAATTGTTTAGAACAAGATCTGCAAAGTTATTCAGGGAGTTAACACCCATTGATTACAATAGAAATTAGGTGCATAAATATAAGTTAAGCACCTAAACATAAATTAGGCATGATACATTCAGGATCTGAGCCTTGGAGATTAATTCAGCAAAGTATTTAACCATGTGAAAATGTCCCTTTAATTCAGTGAAGTACTGAAGCCAGTGGGACTTGAAAGCATGCTGAAGCACTTTTCTGAATCAATCCCTTCACAAAATACTTCTTATAAAGGTTTCAAAACATTGGGGAACAAACCCATTGAATTTAATGACTTTTCTGGGAAGAAATATTTTCTCAAAGATTGCCACAGTCAGGCCCTATATCCTCTGGATTCTATATAAATATCAATAAAGTTGGTCAGGTGAGATGGCACTGTAAGAGTGATGTAGCCAGGATGGTCCAGAAATTATGTGAGAGGAAAGGTTTTCTTAGGGTGATATCTTTTATTTGACCAAATGTATAGCTGAGATAGAATTAGACAAACTTTCTATGCAAGACATTATTCACCAGGTCAGACCTTAATGCAGTGTTTTCTAATCAAAAGCTTCTTTAACTCTATCCCAACTATACAGTTGGTCCAATAAGATAACATCCTAAGAAATCCTTGTCCCTCAGCTGATGTATGAATTGCTGGGCATCATAAATTGTTGAATATTGATTTTATGGAAGTTATTCCAAACAAGGAATATTCATAAATAGAATAGTTTATCACAGTTGTACATGCAAATCAGAAATAAATATCTTCTAGTGCTCTCCAAAATCTATCATTTAACACATCACCTCCCTAGTGCTTAAACTCACTGTCCAGTTATATACCAATTGCCGATTAATTTATCATAGTGCTACTTTTATGAAGACATAGGCAAAGTGTGATGCAGTCATTTCTTACATTTAGAACTTATTTCCAAGAAGGAAAACAAATCACTTGACTGGATACTTTTACCTTAAGATAACATAGCATCTCATGTAATGTATAATATAACCTTTATTTTTTTTTCTCTAAACTCTTGGAAACTTACATAACAACCGTGCTTTAAGTATGACACCATTTATAGACATTTAAAATGCATCTTAATTTATAAATATTTTACATTTGGTCCATAGAACAATTTTCAGTTTACTAAATAATACTGTACTCTTTTAAACAGGCTCTGTATATATTTTAGACTATGTATATATCACATATATTTTTTTTATATAGAGATAGATTTGCTTGGTGTTCAGATATAATTCCTTATTGCAAAAAGCATATATGATCATACAATATTTTTTCTTCTTTAGGGCAGATACTACAAAAAGATACAGCTATTCACAGTTTACACACAGTAGTTCTACAACACTATTTTGTGCTATATATGATAAGTTTGTACAGATTTTTGCTAAACAGCAGGTCTGCCAAACATATGCCATAATTGTTTACAATCAAACATTAAATACTGCATTTTTCTTAGAACAACATGGAACTTGATTACATTAAACAATAAAGAGAAAGTTGGAGGTTTTTATCCTTAGTCTAATGAAATTCACAATTATAATGTGGATGTATTATATGTGATACATATGATGTATGTTTATTTTTTCTAACCCCTGATAGCTTACAAGACTTTTGCTTTTATCTATAGACATTTAGAGTGTATCTTAGATTTCAAAATATTTTACAGTTGATCTACTGTATGAAACAGGTTAAGAGCTACCAAACAATACTCTTTTATGAGATTTCATGACTTAGGT